CTACAAGCACTCCTGCGATGGCGGCATCCTCAAGGTTATGAGCAAGATGGGTATCTCCACCCTCGCCAGTTACAAGGGTGCTCAGATCTTTGAGATTCTTGGTCTTGATGACTCCATCGTCGAGCGCTGCTTCAAGGGCACTGCGTCTCGCATTCAGGGCTCCAAGTTCGAGTACATCGCCGAAGATGCCTTCCGCTTCCACGAGAGGGGTTTCCCCTCCCGCTACACCGTCGGCGTCACCGGACTTCCTGAGTCCGGCGAGTACCACTGGCGTGACGGTGGTGAGGCCCACATTAATGACCCTACCTCGATCGCCAACATTCAAGACGCCGTTCGAACCAAGAATGACAAGTCGTACGAAGCCTACTCGCTCTCGGAGTATGAGCAAATCAAGAATTGCACTCTGCGTGGTCTTCTCGACTTCAAGTTCGAGGAGCGTGACGCCGTCCCCATCGACCAAGTTGAGCCGTGGACGGAGATTGTGCGCCGCTTCTGCACGGGCGCCATGTCTTACGGCTCCATCTCCATGGAGTCTCACTCCACTTTGGCCGTCGCCATGAACAGGCTCGGTGGCAAGTCCAACACTGGAGAGGGTGGTGAGGATCCTGAGCGATCTCAGCGCATGGCCAACGGAGACACCATGCGTTCTGCCATTAAGCAGATTGCCTCCGGACGTTTCGGTGTCACCTCCAACTACCTCGCCGACTCGGATGAGCTCCAGATCAAGATGGCCCAGGGTGCCAAGCCCGGTGAAGGTGGTGAGCTGCCTGGCCACAAGGTTTCCAAGTCCATTGCCCGCACTCGTCACTCCACCCCTGGTGTCGGTCTCATCTCGCCCCCGCCCCACCACGACATTTACTCCATTGAGGATCTGAAGCAGCTCATTTACGATCTCAAGTGCTCTGCTCCTCGCTCGCGCGTTTCCGTCAAGTTGGTGTCCGAGGTCGGCGTCGGCATCGTGGCGTCCGGTGTGGCCAAGGCCAAGGCCGACCATGTCCTCATTTCGGGCCATGACGGTGGTACGGGCGCCTCGCGCTGGACGGGAATTAAATACGCCGGTCTGCCCTGGGAGCTTGGTCTTGCCGAGACCCACCAGACGCTAGTCCTAAACGACCTCCGTGGCCGTGTCGTCGTCCAGACCGACGGTCAACTGAGGACCGGCCGCGACATCGCCATCGCCTGTCTACTTGGTGCGGAAGAATGGGGCTTCGCGACAGCTCCTCTGATCGCCATGGGCTGTATTATGATGCGTAAATGCCACCTTAATACTTGCCCTGTAGGTATTGCTACTCAAGATCCTGAGTTGCGCAAGAAGTTCACCGGTACGCCCGAGCATGTGATCAACTTCTTCTACTATCTGGCCAATGAGCTGCGTGCTATCATGGCCCGCCTTGGCTTCCGTACTATCAACGAGATGGTTGGCCATGCCGAGGTCCTCAAGGTCCGCGACGACCTTCGCAACAGCAAGACGCAGAATATTGACTTGTCCCTGTTGCTTACCCCGGCCCACAAGCTGAGGCCCGGTGTCGCCACCTTCAACGTCCGCAAGCAGGACCACAAGCTCCACGTCCGCCTTGACAACAAGCTCATCTCCGAGGCCGAACTCACGCTTGACAAGGGTCTTCCCTCGAGGATTGAGTGCGACATTATCAACACCGACCGTGCCATGGGCACGTCGCTGTCGTACCACATCTCCAAGCGCTATGGCGAGGCCGGTCTGCCCCTGGACACTGTGCACGTCAACATCAAGGGGTCCGGTGGTCAGTCTTTCGGTGCCTTCCTGGCTCCCGGTGTCACTCTTGAGCTCGAGGGTGACTCAAACGATTATGTCGGAAAGGGCCTGTCCGGTGGCCGTCTGATCGTGTACCCTCCCCGCAACGCCGTCTTCAAGGCCGAGGAGAACATCATCATTGGTAACACCTGCCTCTACGGTGCCACCAGTGGTAGCTGCTTCTTCCGCGGTGTTGCTGCCGAGCGTTTTGCCGTCCGTAACTCTGGAGCTACCGCTGTTGTCGAGGGTGTCGGTGACCACGGTTGCGAGTACATGACTGGTGGCCGTGTCATCATTCTTGGTAGCACTGGCCGCAACTTCGCCGCCGGCATGTCTGGTGGTATCGCCTATGTCCTCGACATTAACAACGACTTCCACTCCAAGCTCAACATGGAGATGGTGGAAGCCGGTCCGGTCGAGGAGCCCACTGAGATCGCCTACCTGCGCGGCCTCATCGAGGACCACCACCACTACACTGGCTCCGAGCTTGCCGCTCGCATCCTGGTCGACTTCAACCGTGCCCTCCCTCGCTTTGTCAAGGTTCTCCCCGTCGACTACAAGCGCGTCCTCGAGGAGGAGGCCGCCAAGGCTGCCGAGGCCAAGGCCAACGAGTACAACCTGCCCATTGTGTCCGGTGTTCAGCACAAGAAGAAGGAGGAGAAGGCCGCCAAGCTCCAAGATATCGAAGAGACCGTTGGCGACAGCGCTGCCGAGAAGAAGCGCGCCCTCGTTCTGGACAAGACGAAGGGTTTCATGAAGTACCAGCGTCGTTCGGAGAAGTACCGCAGCGCCAAGACCCGCACCAAGGACTGGGCCGAGCTTTCCAGCCGCCTCAACGAGGACGAGCTCAAGTACCAGTCGGCTCGTTGCATGGACTGTGGTGTTCCTTTCTGCCAGTCGGAGACTGGTTGCCCCATCTCCAACATCATTCCCAAGTGGAACGAGCTGGTCTTCCAGAACCAGTGGCAAGACGCCCTCAACCGTCTCTTGATGACCAACAACTTCCCCGAGTTTACCGGCCGTGTCTGCCCTGCTCCTTGCGAGGGTGCCTGTGTTCTCGGCATCAACGAGGATCCCGTTGGCATCAAGTCGATCGAGTGCGCCATCATCGATCGTGGCTTCGACATGGGCTGGATGGTTCCCCGTCCTCCCAAGGTCCGCACCGGCAAGAACATCGCCATCATCGGTTCCGGCCCCGCTGGTCTCGCCGCTGCCGACCAGCTCAACCGCGCCGGTCACCTGGTGACGGTGTACGAGCGCGCGGACCGCCCTGGTGGCCTCCTGATGTACGGCATTCCCAACATGAAGCTTGACAAGCGCATTGTCAAGCGCCGTACCGATTTCATGGCCGCCGAAGGTGTCCTGTACAAGTGCGGCGTTGCCATTGGTGAGGAGGGCCAGCCCAGCCTGGCTGACCTTCGCGCTCAGAACGACGCCGTCATCATCGCGACTGGTGCGACCGTGGCGCGTGACCTGCCCATCAAGGGTCGCGAGCTGGAGGGCATCCACTTTGCTATGGAGTTCCTGCACAAGAACACCAAGTCGCTCCTCGACTCGGAGCTCGCCGACGGCTCGTACATCTCTGCCAAGGACAAGGACGTCATCGTCATTGGCGGTGGTGACACGGGCAACGACTGCATTGGTACCTCGGTCCGCCACGGCGCCAAGTCGGTCACCAACTTTGAGCTGCTGCCGCAGCCGCCCCCGCAGCGCGGCAACGACAACCCGTGGCCTCAGTGGCCTCGCATCTACCGCGTGGACTACGGCCACACCGAGGTCAAGCAGCACACGGGCAAGGACCCCCGCGAGTACTGCATCATGTCGGAGGAGTTTGTCGACGACGGCAGCGGCCGCGTCAAGGGCATCAACACCATCCGCGTCGAGTGGACCAAGTCGCCGTCGGGCGGTTGGGACATGAAGAAGCTCGAGGAGTCGCGCCAGTTCTTCCCGGCGGACCTCGTGCTGCTGTCGATGGGTTTCCTTGGCCCTGAGGCCCGCATCCTCGGCGACGACATTGAGAAGGACGCCCGCAAGAACGTCAAGACGGCGCCGGGCAAGTACGCCACCAACCTTGAGGGCGTCTTCGCGGCGGGTGACTGCCGCAGGGGCCAGTCGCTCATTGTGTGGGGCATCAACGAGGGCCGGCAGGCGGCTCGCGAGGTTGATCTGTACCTCGAGCAGTACACGGCGCTGCCCGTGACTGGCGGTATCGTCAAGCACACGCCGCAGGAGATCTTCAGCGCCCGCGCCAAGCAGGTTGCGGCTCTGGCCTGAGCAGATTGACTGATGAATGAGTTATATGTAAAGAGGGCGAAATCATATGAATGATACCATGAGGCTGGAGTATAGTGGTTTGGATAGCTTATAATGTTTATCAGTTCAATATAAATGATTCTAGTCATGTCATCGATTAATCATCCATGAGTATTGGTCTGAGCCTATCATCTATGTTATGCAGGAATACATAGGCCATCATTACATCCCAGGTACCATGCATTCTATGCTCAGTTCATTCAATGGTATACTTCTCAATGCTATGCATCTAGATATAGTTTAGTTGATAACATCTATGAGAGGATTTGATAATGTGTTTCTTAGATATATTGTCGTTCAGTAGAGTGTATGATGCGTTGTGGAATACCTCTTAATTAGTGATGATGTCCCTCCTAGCTATGCTTAATATATGTATGTTTGTTATGGAATGCAAAGCTACATGTATCATGGCCAATCTATGGCTGTGTTGGCATGGTCGATGTATCACTTCTTGACTGGTTGGGTGGATGGCATAGGTGACATGTCTAGGGGATGTAGTACATATCGAGATGCATGCAGCGCAAAGCACCTCGGTATGGATATCAGCATAAAACCAGATGTGCGTCATTTTCATCGAGGCATCCATCAATGACTGCTGTGGCTTGTAATGCTGTGCGCTGAGGATCTGATGGCAGGAAAGCACGTTGCAGCTTTGCTCAACAGGTTGGACAAGAGGCAGGGACGAGGCACGACACACGTGCTCGCAATCGAGAGTGCTGATAGGGCAATGGCTCGCTCGCTCTTGCGGTGGGTGATCTGAGGCGACTGGGGACCTCTTGCCTGGACGCCCTGGGCGACGGCAGGTGGGGCAGCATCACAAGGGAGCTCTTTCTGCCCTCTGCCCCATCGTTCATCCTTGCCTTGGCCTTGACTTGTCTGGCCCGGACTGCGTTGACGAACTTTCTCCTCTCCCACCTCACAGTCTCCCACCTCACAGTCTCGCTGTTGCTCTCTGCCATCACTCCGCATAGCATTCTGCACGACGGCGAGTGCTTCTCCAGTTGCCAGTGGTCAATTGACTGCAGACTTTCGGTTTTACGTCATTCAACGCCATATTCCGCCCGCCTCCCAATTGACATCACGATCCAAGCACCCCCCGACGACGTGCCGCCTACCCTCCTTCCGACCCGAGTGACACCCGCTGTCGGGCACCGTTGCCATGCGTTTCGGCAAGACGCTGCGCGAGTCCGTCTACGCGCCATGGAAGGACAAGTACATTGACTACGCCAAGCTCAAGTCGCTCCTGCGCGAGGACAAGTACGAGGATGAGGATGTGCCCTGGACCGAGGAGGACGAGAGCCGCTTCTGCGACGAGATCTTCAACACCCAACTCGAAAAGGTCGCCGAGTTCCAGGAGAAGACTGTGGAGGGTCTGCGAGAGCGCGTCGATGCCGCCTTTGAGAAACTCAAGGACATGGTGCCCGCCGAGGACAGCGCCGATCGCAGCGCCGACGACAAGTCCAAGCGCCAAGCTCTGACGACCCAACAGAAGCAGCAACTCAAGGGGCTCGAGGCCGAGCTCGACAGCATCACCAACGAGATTGGCGAGCTGAAGAAGTACAGCAACATCAACTACACTGCCTTCCTCAAGATTGTCAAGAAGCATGACCGCAAGCGCGGCGGCCGCTACAAGGTCCGCCCCATGATGCAGCTGAGCCTGTCGCGCCGGCCCTTCAACTCGGAGCAGGGCTACTCCCCGCTGCTCAACAAGCTGTCCATCCTGTACTACGCCCTGCGCCAGCAGCTCGAGGACGAAGCCGCCGACATCCAATTGCCCAGCGAGCTCGAGGAGCAGGGCGAGACGCACAACGGCGAGCGCTACACGGCACACAAGTTCTGGGTTCACCCCGACAACCTCCTCGAGGTCAAGACGTATATCCTGCGTCGCCTGCCCGCCCTCGTCTACAGCGAGCAGTCTTCCAAGGGTCTCGATGTCGCTAACGACCCCACCATCACCTCCCTCTACTTCGACAACAACAAGTTTGAGCTCTACTCCAACAAGGTCGACCGCCAGGCCGAGGCCTCCTCTTTCCGCGTCCGCTGGTACGGACAGCTGTCGTCCAAGCCCGATCTGACCCTCGAGCAGAAGACGGTCGGCGATCACGGTTCCAGCGAGGAGCGCCGCATGGTCATCAAGGAGAAGTACGTCAAGCCCTTCCTCGACGGCGAGTACAAGATGGACAAGACGATCCAGAAGATGAAGCGCCAGAGCCAGGCCGCTAGCGATGTCGAAGCCTTCCGCAAGACGGTTGACGAGCTCGACAGTTTGTCCAGGAGAGGGCCTCCAGCCCGTCTCC